GATGACCATTATAAATATTCCTTTTGTTACTATACTTTGATTCAAAAGAAGCAATTGACTTAATCTCCGCTTTTTCTTCGTCGCTATATAATTGCGATGGTGTTTGATTGGTTTTCTGGAACGCAAACATTGATTATTACACTTTTACACGTTATATATTTATATGTGCTCAAAAAAGATTTTTTATTAATCCTTCAAAGGATTAACTAAGAAGTAAGTGAAATTTTTTTTTTTTTTTTTTTTTTTTTTTTTTAAAGAAAAAAAGAAATTTTATTTATATATTTTTCGATTTTGTTTTTATTATAATAATTTCCTTATTTATAATAATCATTTGATAAAAAAATATTTGTGTAATGCCCATATGCAACTGCAACCTTAATTTACATGTAACATATCACACATGAAATACCGTTCTATATTTAACAATACTCATGTATTATTGAATATATTCGGATTTTTTTAGCCATGAAGAAACATTTCCTTCTTAAGATAAAAATATAAATTGACCTTTTTACTATATTCAATTAAATATGGTTACTCCTTAACGCCGCATAGTATTTGTTTGGTATTTGAAACTGTGGTCGACTTTAATATAATTAAATGTTATACAATTCACTAAGAATAAATATTTATTCATGTGTACGATAAACAAATTTCCTTTATTGTCTGTATTATTATTTAATCCCAGTTCAATGGGAATGCAAAAGAAGGCAATTATAATAACGGATATAACGCCATTTGTTTTTTTTTCTTATTGAAGATTCCGTGCATAAACAAAGATGTATCTTAAGTTTACCTTATTATTTAACGTAATCAATCATATTGAAATGTATTAGTATTAAATTAATTATAATTTTTAATGAAAGAATTCAAAATAAAATTCGAATTTTAAAAAATTCAATGTGAAATGTGATCGAATGTAAGTACCAATTAAACCAAAGGATTTTCTTCGCTTTATTTGACAATTTGGAATTTCAGAGTATAATTGTTTAAGTAATACAATGTATATATTGTCTGAAACTGAGATAACTTCTAAACCAAATTTCAAATTTCTCTTTTTTTTTTTTAAAAAAAAAAATGTTTAATTTTAGTTAGAGCTTCAAGACCGGTTTCCGGTCTCCGGTTTCAGCCTGTTTTAATCAAAAACCGGTTTGGAAATTTTTATTGAAAAATCTGGTCTCCGGTTTTTCATATAAAACCGGTTTACTTTAGAGACCGGTTTATGTTAAAAGACCAGTTTATTTTTTTAATATTAAAATATAAATAATTTATAATAGCATTTATTATTGTATTGTACCACTGACTTAGAGCTGCGACCCGTCTGTATTCAAATCAAAAAATGTGTTACCCGACTCCAAAACGAGTATTACCCGTTTATCTTTTTGATAGATATGACCCGAGTATACCCGGGTATTACCCGGATAAAAACCTGGTTTTTTCTCAATACAATTTTAGCCAGAATTAATAAAATGGGACAAGTTATTTTTTGTGGTAACTTTCTCATTCAAATATTAAAACTTGTAACCGTACTTATTAGTGACGATCACCAAGTAATTTATAAACATTAATTCTGGCCGGCATTAAAATTCTGGCCTGAGTTAACATCTCAATTCTGGCAAAATTTATGGGGCAATTACCCGAGTAATACCCGGGTATATATATATATGTCAACATAAAACGGATACAAAATGGGTATTACCCGTTTTTACCCGTTTGCTATTCCATAACCCAGATACTCATAGATACTCGAGTAAGCCCGGATTGTATTCTGGTAAATGGGTAACGGGTCGCAGCTCTACCACTGAGTGGTACAGTACAATCAGTGTAAAAAAAAAAATGTACACGTGTGAAAATTTTTTTGTGCACAAAAATGTGTGCCTGATCTTTAGAAGCCTAATTGCAAGCCGCTAAAAAATTAAAATTTCAAAATTTTGAGAACCCATTAAAAACACATCTAAATGCATATTAAGGCGACATAAAGTGATAAAAATGGTTTTCATATCCCGGCCGGGTCAGTTTTTGTAAAGTCAAAAAAAAATTTTTTATATTATTACTATGCCGGGTGAGAATTTTTTAAAAATTGAAAAAAATTTTCACATATAAAATTTTTGAAAAAAAAAATTAAAAGCCGGGTTGCCGGGTTATTGATGAAATTTTTATATTATGAAAACCATTTTTACCACTTTGTGTCGCCTAAGAGTACTCTTAATATAACTTTTCTTCCATTTTTTTTTTATAATGTAACCATGAATATTTTGGAGCCCAAAGTGGATTCTATTTAATGTTGAATGTGAATATTTATTTTTTTTTTCGTCTTAGTAGTATCATTTAATTCTTCTTCTTCACTATCAATTTCGTTATCTTCAATATCACTAATTTCTGTATTCTTAACATTTCGCTCCTTTTTTTGTGATCTTTTTTATTAAGGAGTATAATCATTTAGGTATTTCGTGATATCTCTCATTCTTTTTATTTTTTGTGTACTAAATAGAATTTTTGTGCACAAAATTGTGCACATTGTGCACTATATAAAATTTTTTTGTGCACAAAAATTAATAGTGCACTATGAAAATTTTTTTTTTGTGCACACGGTGCACATCCAATTTAGAAAATCGTGCACACGCCACAATCGCCACACGTACACATTGTGCGCATGAATTTTATACACTCCTAACTGCTAATACTAGCAGTAGCCCGTTGCTTCGCACCGGGATTAGTAAGTTGTTTTATATTAATGTAGTAATGAATAATGAAAAGAAAATTATGATATATGTTTAAAAACTTCAATTTTTATTATTATTCATAATTAGAAATTTAAAGGAGTGTAAATAAATGATAATAAAATAAAAAATAAATTTAATAAATTTAAAAAAGGTGATAAAAAAAAAGGCTAAGATGGAGTTCTTAGAGCTTAGAAAACGTCTCTTTTCATTTGCTAGAATTTTTTTTTTTGTATATGATGGCAAAAAAATTTTTTATGTGTGAGATAAACTTTTTTTTATATATTTGAAAAATGTAGTATTATTATAGCATGTTTAAATATTTTGAAAGATTTCATTATATACAATGTTTTTGGTCTGAAGAAATATATTAATAATGTATTATATTGATAAGAAATTAATATAAATTTTATTTATTGTATAAAGTAGATGTTACAGTACTGTAGAATATTTTCAAATTTATTATAAATAGTTTTATTGATATTAGGAGAAAAAACGTTAAAAAATCTTTATCCTTATTACACTGAATTATTATGATCGGGAGAAAAAAATCAATATAAAAAAATTTTATTAGGGAAAAGGCCAAATAATTCTCTTTTATATACTAAAGTCTATTAAATTGATCTATTATTATGGGGAGAAAAAATAGAAATTATTAAAAAAAGCTAATAATCTATCTATTCTAATAGTTATTTGTATTAGTTACTCGGGAACTAAAAATTGGTATTAGCAATCACAAATTTGCCGATCAAAAACATTAAACACTTAAGTATAGATCAGGCGCAAATCTGGCGCAGGGGAATGATGCGTTGCACAACTCAGAAATTTAGATTAACCTGTATAAATATCGAATAACGGTTTCACAGGAATTTTATTTTATTATTTTTTTACATTGTTTTATTTTTTTTATTGTTTTAGTATATTTTTTTATTAGTTATATTAGTTTAGAGCTATTTTAGAGCGCTAGCCAAGGGACAATCATGATTATGTAAGCAAATTGGCGTTGGTCAACTTATCACAAAGTGACCTTTTGACAAATTGTCACTTGGACGAAGTGTGTAAGTTGTCTAACTGAAAGTCAATTTGGCCATAGACAAGTTGTCCTTTGAATTTTTCATTATAAATATCTCCCCAAATGGATGTAAGAGGGAGGATGTTAAGTAATTTTTTTTACTTAGAATCAAGGCCTTTAAACCCTAAAACAAGGTTTTTTCTCGAGAAAGGTTGTTTTAGTGGGAAATTCTTTTGATTGGGAGTTTATTTTCGTGTGTTTGATATAATTTTGGTTACTACAGAACGCCGAGTGAGGCAGTAGTGAGAATTTTATTGAGATATCAACGCACTTTTAATAAAATTGCTCATCAATTTGGATTTGCTCCGGTAAATTGACTAAATTACCACTAATTTGATTGTAAATCATTATTTTATTTTCTGTTATCACCTGACGCCTGACGAAAACTGATGGTAACAATAGTCTTATTTATTGAACACGTGACAAACAATTTTATGGTGTGTAAAAAAAAGATATATTTCTAAAATTCCCTTGATAAGCGACTTAAAAGCATAAAAATCCGGCATATACAGTAAGTTATAAGCGTCAACATTCAAATTTGTTAATTAAATCAACTGCTTTATCTTCATAGTATCATTATCGGTTATAGAAGTAAATGTTTTAAACTTTTAAAAAAAAAATTTTATTGATCAAATATTGAAGTGAACTTAAGATAATTATGCTAACTAAAAATGAAATTTATACTTTTAATATATTCATAAACTGAACATTACACAATTTCATTTAATGGATTCTTTTTTTAAGATATCTGGAATCAACAAATGGAAGAAACAATGAGATTTATATTTTAGATACAACAAGTTCTCAAGCATATTCTTGGACAACTGCTTTTGACCCAAAACATCTACCCAATTAATTAAATGGTCCCATAAAATTAACCGCAAATTAAATAGTCGTATTATTTACCTTCACTTTATATTTTGTATTTGAGACAATGTGAATATCGTAAAAAAAAAATTACCCATATTTAATATTAGGCAATAGAGTTTATATTTTTAAAGGTACAGACGTACAGTAAGTTTTAAACGTTTTTTAATAAAAAAAAATTATTCGTTAAATTCACTGTTTGAAAAAAAACTATTTATGTATTTGAAGATTCGTGATAATAAAATTTAATAATAAAATTAGAGTTTATTAATAGGTCAAAGATATATTATAATTATTCAAGACGCGAAGATTTCCATTATTTCGAAATAATACATTCTACGTTAATGTTGCGAAATAGAGTGTTGAAAAACTTCATTTGGAGGTTTCTCGAAAATATTTAAATAATCTGTAATGATAAGAAATTTTTTAAGTTAAAAAATGAGTTTAGTTTGTTGTANAACTTTACCTTCTATACTAAACTTTTCTTCTTTACTATTTTTTGCAAAAATCTCTATTCCAAAAAAACCGTCTAGATTTAAATCAGGGCCTTTTTGTATAATAGCTCCTATCTGTAAAAAAATTTCTTTGTCTGTAAAATCAAAAAAATCCCTTTCTATAAAATTATTTAAATTTTCATAAATTCCCGTTTCTTCAATAACTCTATTTAACCAGAACTTTGCATTTGCTCGTAATTTATTTTTATCTCTGTCTATAATCATGTCGTTGATTATAAGTTTCTCTTTATTACTATTTGACATATTTTGAACGCTCGCGTTTCTTTTATCAATATATTCCAAACTCCTATAAGGTTTGATATATTTCACGTCGACGTTATCTTTTTCCCATCTTCCTGGTATCGTCGTAGCTAAGTCTTTTTCTATATATATATAACATTCTTATTTCCAATCTTTTTTCTTTCTAATATTGTAATTACATCCTTTACAATTTATCAAAAAAGGAGAATTTATCACATCATTGTTGGCTTGTAATTGATCTTATTCTATCATATGTTTACCTATTTCTTCTTAAAATCTATGACGTGACTTCTTTGATCTTATACTATATATATTATTGGATGACTTTGGATCTTTCCATGTAATAATTTCTTTATTAGTTTCTTTTCTACTTTTATCAGAATGGTCTTCACTATTTCTTACTTTCTTGGTATCGTCTAATTCCATTCTTTTGATTAACATTTCGTTACATAATTCCCTTTCTAAAATACCATTAATTGTTATACGGTCCCTTACTATTTTAAACCATTTTGGTTCTATTCTCAACGCTAACCCGTTTTCTTTTAAAAAGTGTGTCCATTTCATCATTTTGTCTGTGTAAGGTTCAATTAGTTGTTCAACGAACATAACGCCACATTTTTTAATTCTATTTTTATAAAATCAGAATTCCTCTTCTAAAACTTCTTCGATCAGGATGTATCCTCCTCTAATCCTATGATTACGGAAAAGATCATTATAATTTTCATGATCACATAAATGAAATTTCTTGGAGTCTAAAACTATTAATGCATCTCTGACAAATCTTTTTGTTGAAAATTTAACTTGTGATACTTTTTCTGCAAAACATAAGGGCGTCCACGCTTCTTGTTGCAACTGCTCCATTTGTATTTTAAATATTGATCTAACTATCTCATTTCCATTTGCCATATACATTATGTTTTTACTTAAACTTTCAAATTGTAAACTATAAATATCTTTAACTCCATATATGTCCTTATCGTATAATACACAGTTCGGCAACGAACTTGGCATTTTACATTTATGTTTTATCAAAGTGTTTATTGGCGCCATTAATTGTTTAGCTTCATTCTCTGTAATAACTACTCCCTGTAATTGATATTCTAATGCCGGAATCATATTATTGTTCCATAGTTTACATACTTGTTTATCTGTTATTATTTTCCTATTCATTATTTTAACAAAACCTTCTATCATATCTTTCATTTTTTTAATGTGAACTGCTCTATTATTATTATATGTAAAGAAAATTCCCAGAAATCTATTACCATTTTTTGAATTAATTTTTTCTATTTTTTGCCCTTCTATTATCATATCTCTCTTTTCTACATTATTTATTCTAATTATTTCGTATTTTTTAGGGTTTGCTTTAATATCATTTAATCTATAGAAGCTGTGACATATTTCTAACATATCCATTATTTGGTCATGTGATCTACTAATAAGTGTCTTGTCATCCATGAACGCTATCGCATTAATTATCATACTATGGATTGTCACCTTATCTTTTGTAATATTTTCTTTGAACTCTGACTTAATTTCATAACCCGCTTGTTCTCTCATATCATCTAATTTACATAACAAGGGGTCGTAAAAAATTCTCCATAATATCGGTGACCATACCTCACCTTGGTCGATTCCGTCTTCCACTTTATATTTTTCTGTTAAATCATTGTTAACTATAACTCTATTGAATCTATTATAAGATATATCTAAAACTAAATTTATCCATTGTTCCTGTAATTTTATACGCTCCATCCCTTTTCTCAAACTTCTCGAGCTAACTGAGTCGTATGCTTTACTTATATCCATTAATACTATCCACGCTTCTTTTTTGTTAATATTGGCATCTTCTATTATCGCTTGCAAAATTTTTATTGGTTCGAATGTACTTTCATATTTTAATGCCGCAAAATTTTTTCCCTTTAAAACAGTATACTTTGTCAATATATCATTCAGACGTTTCGTAAGTATTTTGATCTTGATTTTCCTTGCTGTCTCGATTAACGTTATTGGACGCGTTAGTTTTAAATCTCTATTCCACTCCATTGTTTTTTTGATCGGATAAATTATTCCGTCTTTCCATTTTTTTGGCCATGTTCCTTCTTTTATTACCAGATTTATAATTTCTATTAAAGCTTCCTTTGTATTATCACCACTTTTCTTCCAAAAATCGTAAGGAATACCACTTACCCCCGCTGCTTTATCATATTTTAGATTATTTAACGTTAGATTGCATTCTGTCATTGTTACTTCATCACATAAATGATCTTATATGTGTTCATCAATAGTATCGATTTTGTTGTAATATTGATTCCAATTTCTATCAAACTCTTCTTCATCGAAATTTCTTGCGCATGTCCAATTTTTGTAATGTTCTATGACTTCTTCTTTTATTTCTTCGTGATTTGTAATCATTCTGACCCTATTTTCACTTATTTTCTGACAACTATCTATTCTGATTTGACCTCTTCTTTTATCCATTATTCGAATGATCATTTCTTTTAAGTCTGTTGTCATTAATTGTTCACGTTTTTCTATATTTTTTTCTATTTCTAGGCTGTTTTCGTATTGTTGTACTTTTTCCATATCACACAACAATCTGTTTTTTTCTATTTCTATCTTATCTTTGGTTCTGTTTATCGATATACTGTCTTCAAGGTTATCATGCAAATTTTTAAATTGATTTTCCGTTTCCGTTGTCATCATCGAGTTACAAATGTCGTTAAATCTATGTACTAGTATCTTGTAATTGGTAATTACTTTCCTTTCTTTTGCACCAAAATTTTCCATTACATCCAAGTTTCGTCTTGTTTCTTCGTTAAATTTATTTCTTTCCTTTACCAGTCTATCCCATTTTTTCCACAGTTTTTCTATTTCATTTATAATTTTTAATTTGGTCTTAACTTTATCGCAATCAGACATGTCTTTGACGCTCGTATTGTATTCTTTCTGCGTGTTTTTATTATTATTATTATTTTTTTAATATTGTTCTTCTTTTCTTGGTTCACTTCTGTTATTTCTTTGGTGATTACGTATTTAAGCGTGTTCCATTTTTTGTCTATTTCAGTTGTTATTCCATCTTTATCTCCTTCGCTTTCGTCCATGTTCGTTTGTCTTTCTATAATACTTTTTTCTACACGTTCCGCTATTTCTTCCCATTCTTTCCCTGATAATTTATGTCTAAAATATCCTGTGTCTTTTCCTTTATTATTATTATAGTTTGTTGTCTCATTTTCTATTTTAATAGTAATCGTTAATGCTTTGTGGTCTGTTGATAATTTGTTTTCTACATTTAATACTTCGTGTTCATCGATTCTCTGTAACATTTCGCTATTCACAAAAATATAATCAATTCTTGTACTTATTGTTCCGTTTGTCCATGTATCTATCAGGTCGTTATTGTTGAAATAAGTGTGTATATCTACCATATTATGACTATCTATCAATTCTAGAAAATTATTTTTATCTTTCTTCCCTATATTTTGTCTTCGTTCGTTGAAGTCTCCCATTACTATAATGTCTAGATTTTCATTTTTCCCATTTTCTATCCATTTATCTACTGTCGATATAATTTCCTTTTTTTTGTCTTTATTGTTACCTACCATATATATATTTATAATTCTGATCTATTTTTTATTTCCTTTGAGTATAATATCTATTGATTGTGTGTATTCCTCTATTGTTTTATAGTTTATCGATCGTACTTCTGTCCAATATTTTTGTATTAAAATTTGACTACCTTTACTTTTTTCCTCTTCCGCGCTGTTGTTCCTAATTTTCATTGTTTCCCAATCTCTATATATGTATTTTCCTTTTGATTTCTTGATTTTTGTTTCGTTGATTCCTGCTATGTCCCAATTTTCTTTGTTGATAAAACTTTTTAATCTCTCTTGTTTGTTATCTTATCCTTTATCATCGTTTAAACCCCTTATATTTATACAACCTATTTTTATCTTATTGTTTATTTTGTTATTATTTAAATTTTTATTTGTTTTTTTGTTTTTTATCTTCTTATTTTCCTCTATATACTTGTCTACAGTATCTTCATCGCCCCACGTCTCCTCCTCATATATACTAATTCTTCGTGAAGTTGATTCAATATCTATGTCCATAATGGACTCCGTTTCCTCTTCTTCTATCTTTGTCGTGAATTGTGCGTTGTTTTTTGTATCCAGTGTCGTATTGTCTATAATCATTTTCTCTTCTGTTATTATCTTCTCTTCTGTTATCGTATCTTGCTTTTCCATTAAAGTCGTGTCGTTGGGTGTAACTATATTTTTGTTTAGTTTGGTAGTTTCTGCGATTTCTTGAGTTTTTCTCATTTGGTCTTCTGTCGTAATTTCTTTCATAGTTTCTTCCGCTGTCTCTAAATTGTTGGTTGTTTTTGTTGTATCGATTGAATCTTTTATATGTAGTTCTTCTTGAATCTTAACTTTGTTCATAGTTGTTGTTATTTCCGCTATATCTTTGTCTGTAATCATTGGGTCGTCTTGTCTGTTGTTGATATTTTGTTTGGTGTTTGTTGTTGTATTGTTGACGTCCTCTTTGTTCCCCTTTTCCTGTATATTCTCTTGCATCTTGTGAGTTGTTGTATCTTCCGTGTTGGTGATATGCTCTTCTTCCATCGAATCTGCTGTTGTTGTAACTGTGTTGGCTGGTCTGAAAGGGCTGCCCTATATAACCTTTTTTCCATGTAATGCATTTGTTATTTACTATGAATGGTATTTTCATGGCGCTATCTCTTTCCTTGCCATTTTTGAAATAAACTGTAATTATCTTTCTATTGGTTCGTTTGTCTTCTTTGATATACCATTCTTTCGCCTTTACGTTGTTTAGGTTTTCACTGATATCTTTATACTCTATATTAGGGTCTACGTCTATAAGTTTGGCCATATATTTCTTCCTTTCCTGTTTCTGTGTTGCCTTTAGATTTTGAGGGATAATCGTGATTCTGTTATCAAGATCGTCTATTGGTATGGACCATGTATCTCTTAGTTGTGCGTCGGTGCATTTTAGGTTTATTAATACACTTTCGTGTCGTTTTTTCCCATCTTTTGATTTTTTTGTATTATTAAACACTCTATTAATGTCTCCCATTCCATAGTTATCTACTGCTTCGCTTACTTCACTATTGCTAATGTCGATCGGTATGTTTAGGATCTCGCATTTTAACGGGTCACTGATCGTCACTTCCCTTTCTTGATCCGTGTAGAATTTGCCCACGTTGTTGATAATTGTTTCGCTATTGGTCAATCTTGTTCTTTCTTCACTTGTTGCAAACATTACGTACATATACTTTTTACCGTTCTTGTTTGAGATGTCGATCCTAAATCTGTCTTTGTGAAAAATTTTTCCAATTTCGTTTTCTATTTCCTCTTTTGATAATTTTAGCTTGTTAATGTTGATCTTTGCTTGGTATCTTGTTCTGGAGTTTGTAAAATTTTTTTCGTGCATCGAGATGTTGTTACTATTTGGTGTTAATGTAACTCCTTCCATATCGTTCTCATCTATTTGTTTTTCGTTCACGTGACATCTCTTTTTTCCCTCGCTCTTTGAATTTTCGCCTTGGACGGTATTATTATCTTCTTCGTCTATTGATATAAGTTGTCCTGTCGGTATACTCTTCGTAGTATTATATTCTGGTCTGTCATTTGTACCAACTTCTATATTTGATATATGTTGGTTTATTGGCATCGCTTTGAAATATTCTTCTAGTTCTTTGTCTTGTTTTTGGAGTTTATCTTTCGTTATTTGTAGTTCGTGTTCTATAGCGGTTCCTTGTGAATAAAGTGTTTGTATTTGTTGGTCGAATTGTTGTCTTTCTTTTTCTGTAACATTTTTATAAAATGTTTCCATCGTGTCTTTTTGTTTCGTTAGACATACTGTAACTACGGCTCTTATTAACGCCGCTGTGACAACGTCTGTTCCCATAAATATTGCTATGTCATGATCTTGTGCTTCTAACTTCCAACCTGCGTGTTCCAGAATCTCTTCCCGTTCCTCTCCACTTTTGTAAACGTACCCTTCGAGCGTAGCAAAGTCTTCTGTTGAGACTGAAACTCCCATGATTACTATATTTACTGCGGATTCCTTTATTCAATATTCTTTTACAAATGATCGAAAACAATGTTACCATCTGCCACATTAGTTAAATCTAAATCTTGATAGCCATAAGTACACTTGCGTAACTTTTATAATTACTTAATATCATATGAATGTAATGAATTTTATTTTTAATGTATACTTTTTCTCTTATTTTTTAAACTGATAAAAAGTTCCTTGTAATTTAGAATGAAAGCATAAAAATATCATGATAGGAGTAAACGCGAGTATCATATCTTGTTAGACCTTCTGGAATTTTTGAAATAACAACTTTAGGAATTTAAAAAGCATTAATTTGAAACCTAATTTGAAAATGAGTGATTGTTCTCACTTAATATATACAATCGCAAGTTTTACGTCATTATATTGTATTATTTATTGTCGCACAGAAATTGAAATTAGTAGTTCAAATCTAACATGTGTTATATATGGATTTTCCGTGGTTTTCTCGAAATTTTTAAAAAATTAATTTTATAAAAGAGAGAATTATTATTATAATCGAGTAAAAATGATATAATTCTTAAATTATTTTATTTATTTGCAATCGATGATTAAAAGAAAGCAATCATTTTATTTAATTGATTTATAAACAATTTTAATCGCGGTGTTACCTATGTTCTATATAATTACTATCACGCGTTATATACTTGTAAGATAGTTTAGTATTTTCGCAAAAAAAGAATTATTTCTGCCGCAAAAGCCGCAAAATAGGCGAGTAATTCCAATATTTCCAATATTATAAAATCAAATTGTATTTGTAAAATTCCACAGATATTAGCGTAGAGAGATATATATAATGATGTATAAACAAAAGATTGTTTGTTATCGTTATTCGAGAAAGCCACCTTTGTATTAGCAGACGTTAACGTCATCCTTTAGCACGTGATATATAATTGATTGGTTCATAAAGGGTAAAATTACCGGTAAGGAACCGGATAATTTTCCCCCGATTAAGTTAAAAATCATTTATTTCGAAACATGACAGTACAGTAACAACAACAATATTGGTGACAACAACCAAAATACCAAAAAACAATCATGGAATAATAATGATGAAAAAGGAAAATGACGAGAAAAGAAAAAGAGTTAATATTGTTTTCAAAAAAAACAAAACCCACTTATTGTTCCAGAATAATAAAAAAAAACCTACTTCAAAGATTTTCCATGTCGTATTTCGATTTATCCTAAAAAGAAAAAAAATGGTTATTTTCAAAAAAAACAATGAAAAAACTAAAAAAAAAAAACTAAACAAAGGATGTCGTCTAATGAATTTGTTTTACAATTTTAGTTAAGCCAGACATCATTTTGATTGGCACCTTACTGCGTTTAATAAATTAAGATCTGCACGCAGTTGACGGCTAATAAATATACCGATGTGGTTGTGTGCAGTGATCTTATTGGAGTTACCAAGTTTCATGCAAATTTAACATGCGAGTTTGATTTATATTTGGACGTAAAACAAAGGGAAAATTTTGAATGATAACAAATCTTTTTGAGTCATAAATCCGAATATTTCCATATTTTCCGGAAAATTTCGCATGATCGACAATTGATATACACGGATAAATAATTCATTTTTAGTTTGCTAAATTTACCCAAATAAAAGATCTCTTTATATTTGTGTAATAGAGCGGTAAATCGGATAAACGGTGTGTGGAATCCGGGTGTTAATTTTTCCTCAATAACATAATCATAATAAATAGGGAGATTTCGAGTTCCGATTTTCGATATCAATCAGATAATTTAAATATGAATAAGAAAAATTTTACTTTCATATTATCGTTATTATTGTTGAATTTAATCTTCCGTGTCGAGGTCAATACAGCGACACAAGATAGTTATTATATTCCTACAAATGCTGATGTGGATCACCCGCCTAAAAATATTTTGGTCGGCTCTTATGTTGGAGGGAGAAGTCATATCAAACCAATGTTAGATATTGCTGCTGTATTAAGTGAAAGGGGTCACAATGTAAGTATTAAAAATTTTATTATCTTTCAAATTCGTCCTTTATCTCACTTTATTACTTGATACTAGGTGATATTGATAACATCAGGAAATTATACGCCAGCATCAGAATATCCAACCATTAAACAAATTTCATTTGGGCCCGCATTTGATGTTAAAAAAATTAGAAGTGTGGCAAACTTAATGCATAAAGAATTTGATTTTACAAAATTTGCTTTTATGTATGAAATGGGTATTAACACATACGAAGACGCATTCGTAAAATATAAAAATGTTGCTATTGATCAAAATATTGACTTATTCTTTTGCCATGCTATGGTAAATGATGCTTGTTTAGATGCAGGTCGTGCTCTAAATAAACCTGTTGTTGGGTTTATGTCTTATCTTAATGGTAATTATATATAAATTAAAGAATTTTTGAAAAATATATATATATATATTAAAAGAAAATCCTTCTTTTTTTTTAGCAATGGACCTTAAAACGTACAAATCAGATCCTTTATTCCGCTGTAATATTTCATTGGAAAATGAATCATTTTTGGAAAGGTTTAAGTGTACTATAGTACAACCTCTTCGTATGCTTAATATAGTAAATTACTTTTCAAACCAATTAAATGATTTAAGAAGCAAAATGGGTATCGAACAAGTCTTTATGTCTCCGATGAGGTTGGCCAAAAATTCTTTAGTTTTGATTGATACTTTCTTTGGTTTTGAGGTAAAGCAAGTTTCAAATTTTCTCTTTTCTCTTTTAATTTAATTTTTTGTTCAAGTTAATTAAATGTATTATTATTTTTTTTTTTTCTTTTTGAAGTTACCGCAAACTGTACCACCAAATATTCAGGTAATTTTTTTAACGTATAAAATGCTGGCCAAATTCATAACGTTGTGTATATAGTTCGAATCAGAGTAAAAAAATTATATTAATTTTCATTATTACTTCTTCAAATAATAGGAAATTGGACCAGTGTTGTCGAAACATTATCCCCCACTTACGCCCGAACTCTCGGACTTTATAAATGGACACAAGCGAGTTTTATATGTAGCTTTTGGTTCACGATTCTTCACAACAATCGAGAATAACAGCAAACTTTTACAATCATTTATCGAAGCTATCAATAAAAAAATAGTTGATGGAGTAGTTTGGGCATTAAGTCAAACACCAGAAGATGATTTCTATCCCACGTTAAGCCTAAGTGATGGTTCACAAGTTCAAACTTCATTAATCCTGAATAACAAACATCCACATATTCATATTTTAAAGTTTGCACCACAATTCGCTGTACTTAATCACACCAATACAAAATTATTCTTTAGTCATGGAGGTGCTGGAAGTACTCATGAATCTCTTTTTACTGGTACTCCTATGTTAGTAATACCCCTTGGTGGTGATCAGTTGGGCAACGCTCAAAAGGTAGAATTAGCTGGTATGGCATTATCAGTAAATAAATTTGCTTTGGATGTCAATGATATTATAAATAAAATAGATTTCTTATTAAAAGATGAAGATGTAAAGAAAAATTCACAGAGAATGAAATATTTAGCCAGAATTAATAGTAAGAGAAAATATAGAGCAGCGGATTTAATTGAATACATTTTATACCGTAATAATCTTGATAATGATTCTAATAAAGAATTAAAGGAATGGCTTCCAGCTAGTACAAGGATGGGATTTATCAAAGGAAATAATTATGACATTTATGGTACCATATTAGGAATTGCTCTTGGACTTATTGGAGGAATTTTATGGATTACAATTAAATCAATTAAGTTCATTGCAAAGAAAATTTCTCCTTCTCCTAATCAAAAACCAAAAAGAGAATAGTTGAAATATTTTTTTTATTATAATTGAACCTTAATTTGTATTAATTATTATTAATATATCATGTATATTTATTTTATTCATTTCAATTAAAAATTAAATAATATTAAATATATTTTAACTGACGATGAGATACGTTGGGCGGAGTACGTAAAATTTTATTAACCACATGACATCGTGACGACGCGACGCCGTGAACATTAATAATATTAATCAAAAAAATTATAAAAATTGAATTCGCAAAATTCAATTAAATAAATTAAATAAAAATTNTTTTTTTTTTTTTTTTTTTTTTTTTTTTTTTGACTGGCGGAAAGACGTTACATTGGTTAAATGCAGGGACACGTTATTACATTTTAAATATGAAGCTATTGGTTAAAAAATTTGTAACACATTTTACACATTTTGCAATACGTTATACGTTGCGTGCGTATAATAAATTTACATAATCCTACTAAAGTGGTTAAAGTTTAAAAAGAAAACGAATCACCTTTGTTAAAAAAGAATCTGATAAAATATTATATTACCAAATCAAGCCTTATATAATCTTTATTTACTTTGAATACATTTTCTCTTTTACATGTGAAATTTCATAATTTTTGTACAACATACTACTTTGAACTTTCAATAATACAAAAATTCTCTATCCAAATTTGGTTTTCCCGATTTCCCGCATTATGCGGATAAATTTAAACCCGAATAACCTCTACTTAATTAGTTTACAATGAATTATATCAAAATTAAAAAAGATTTTAAAATAATGCGTTATCAATTAATAAGTATCAAAAATGATTAAAAGTGTACTCACCAGATCAAAATTGTTTTTTTTTTATTTTTAGTTGCCATAATCTTTACCACCAAATGTTCAGGTAATTAATTATTTATTATCTCCTTTTTAATATGCAATTAATAGGAAAAAATAGATATTAATTTCCCATTTAAATTAATAGGAAATTGGACCAATATTTTCGGGAAAATATCCGTCACTTACTCCTGAACTCACTAATCTTTCTTTATTAACGGGCATGAACGAATCTTATATGTAGCTTTTGGTACGCGTTTTTACGCAAATGCTTGGATCATTCGTCGAAGCAATTAATAGGAACATAATTGATGATGTGATTTTAGTATTAGCTCAAACATCACAGGATAGCTATTCTTCGATATTATGGTTCACATATTCAAACTTAATCAATTCTAAAAAATGCACCACAATTCGCTGTACTTAATCAGTAATCACACTAACACGAAATTATTTTGAAATCACGGAGGTGCAACGGCTGATGTAGCATTAGCGTTAATTAGATATACTTTGAACGCTAATGATATCATAAATAAAATAGATTTTTTATTAAAAGACGAAAAAGTAAAGAAAAATTCAAAGAGTATGATTAATAGTAAGAGAAAATATAGAGCTGCTGATTTAATTGAATATATATTATATGATAGTAGCCTTAATGAAGGAGTTAATGAAGAATTTTTAAAAGAATGAATTCCTTCTGATTTTAGAATGGGATTCATTAAAAGAAATAATTATGACATTTTCGGAGCTTTATTAGGTATTATTCTTGGAATTATTGAAGACGGATTACAATTAAATCAATTAAGTTTATTTTTACTTTTATTCAATAATTTAAAGTTTATTTATATTTTATATATGTGTTATATATAATAAATATAAATTATTTGGCTTTTCATAACGGATTGTTCGGGATAAAAATTAGCCTATCTCTAATAGAATTGGTCTGGATGACCATTATTTCTCCAATTTTTAATATTAATTTACAACCATATCAGGTCTTTCCCGACAATGATAATGAAAACCCCAGTTGAAGTTGCTTGTATATCTACCTTTCAACGAAAAAAAAATTTGTGCACCATGTGAAAAAAAAAAAAAATTAATCCTATATTGGTAATTTGGTATTTGCAGCTGACTTTATTGAACGGTCACACGGATATCCCATTTTACCGACATGAAAATTAACCGGCTCTATTTACGGAAATCATCCGATTTCCGTCGAAAATTTATCCGATTTACCGTATATAATATTGATATATATTTTTATATACTATTATTATGTTTGAAATTTTTCAAATAAAATACATAGGAATAGGAATTTTTTAAAATATTTCTATTTACATCAAAATGATCAAATTGCAAAAATAAATTTAATAAATACAAATCACGGTATGATCCACTTCAACCAAAATTATTCTAATAAATAAATGAAAAAAAAAACCAAGACCTTCCACGAAAGTTCCCGTGATCGTATAAACAAAGAAATTTGCTTTACGGTTCGTTTCATTAAGCGTTAGATTATAAAAGTAATAACAATAGGAAATCTTTTTATGTCATAATTTACAAGAAAATTTATCATCACTATTATCTGATCATCTGAAGACTCATTATTACAGTATGTTCTCAAAAAAAATTATTTTAAGTGCAAATTAATTTAATTTAATTTTGTTAATCAAAATACAGTCATCACATGTTCTGTTAAACCTATTTAAGTCTAGCTTCGGTAACTTCGGTAACTCAAGTTCCGATAAAAACCGAAAATCCAGTGTAATTGTTTGTTTGTACGTCTTTTTTCTTTGAGGAAAAAAAATCTTTCATTTATACTATTGTATTTTTTATTTCTATTCAAAATACTACAACATAATGAGCATTTTTATTTCTTATTGGTGTTACTCGGAATATTTGATCAACCGAATAATTATTTCGAATCAGTATAAAAAATAAAATAATATAAATAAAGCAATAATTTACCTTTATAATTCGATCCGATATCAGTTCGATCTGTTTAAACATCAAAATGATTAACAAAAATCTTATTTTCTTATTATCAGTACTCGTTCTATTATTAAATCAAATCCACGTTAATGCTGTAGATTATGTTCCTAGAAATATTGATATAGAGCGTTATCCTAAAAATATTTTGGTCGGTTCTTACGCTGGAGGAAGAAGTCATCTTAAACCAATGTTGGATGTCGCTGCTATATTGATTGAAAGAGGTCACAATGTAAGATTTCTTTCTTTTATTCTACATATTTTTAGTTTGATCATCGTTAAAGTTTCCAAACTTACTCCTATTTTATATTCTTGATGCATAGGTAATATTATTAACATCAGGAAATTATGAACCATCATCAGAGTACCCAGGTCTAAAACAAATCACATTAGGACCTAAATTGTCTGCAAGAAAAAGTAAAATAGATCTTCAGAAAGACTTTGATTATAGGCAAATGTCACGAATTAGGGAATTAACTACGGCTGGCTACGGCAAATCTTATGAAAAATTTAATAATGTTGCTAAAGAATATAATATTGATCTATTCTTTTGTGACGCTATGGCTAATGAAGCTTGCATGGATGTTGCTAATAATCTAAATAAACCTGTTGTTGCTTGGTCTTCGTTTCTTCAATGTAATTATAAATAATCAAATTTTCTTTCTTTTTATTAAGAGTAAAAAATCGCATATTACTAATAAAAAAAAAATATTTTCAATTGTATAGTTGTGGATCATAAACCATATAAATCTGATCCGTTGTTCGGCTGCAACATCTCATTTGAAAATGAATCATTTTTTGAGCGGTTTAGGTGTACTTTAATACAACCTTTACAAATAGCTTATGCGTTTGCGTCTGTTGAGCGTCAATTAAATGACGCAAGAAATCAAATGAATATAAATTTAGCATCACGAAAAGGGTTAAAATTCAACTTAGCTTTGATTGATAATTTTTTCGGTTTTGAGGTAATTGATATTATAATAAATACAATAATAACTAGATAATTTATTTCTCATATAAATAATGATTTTTTTTATTTATCTTAAAGTTACCACAACCCTTACCACCAAATGTCCAGGTAATTAATGACTCATCTTTTAGTATATCCGTTAAATTCACCCACAACGAAAATCCGAGAATTTATCCTTCGGATTATGATAATACTGATGGAAATTCCCACAGAGATGATTAATGGATTGTATATGAAGTTTCAAAAATTATAAAGAATTAACTTTCCTCATTCTTTCAAATTAATAGGAAATTGGACCAGTATTATCGGATGAATATCCCCCACTTACGCCTGAACTCACCAATTTTATTGATAAACATGAACGTGTCTTATATATAGCTTTTGGTACGCGTGTTTACGTAAGATCTGAACTCAATGACAAACTTACGCAAGTATTTGTTGAAGCAATCAACAATAAAATAATTGATGGTGTAATTTGGGCATTATCTGAGACATCAAAAGATGATTTCAGTCCAACATTAAGCTTAACCGATGGTACACAAGTTCAAACTTCACCAATTTTAAATAATGAACATCCACATATTCATGTTACAAAGTTTGCACCACAATTTGCTGTACTTAATCACACCAATACGAAATTATTTTTTAGCCATGGAGGCGCCGGAAGTACTCATGAATCTCTTTATACTGGTACTCCTATGTTAGTGTTACCTTTTGGTGGCGATCAGATGGGTAACGCTCAAAGATTAGAAACAGCCGGTATAGCATTATCATTAAATAAACATTCTTTGGATGTCAATGATATTTTAAATAAAATCGATTTCTTATTAAAAGATGAACATATAAAGAAAAATTCAAAGAGAATGAAATATCTAGCCAGAATTAATAGTAATAGAAAATATAAAGCAGCCGATTTAATTGAATATGTATTATATAGTAGTGGTTTAGATGAATATTTAGATGATGACTTTTTAAAAGAATGGATTCCTGCTGAATCTAGAATGGGATTTATTAAAGCAAATAATCTTGACGTTTATGGATTTTTATTAGGTATCATTCTTACACTTATTGGAATTACATTCAAATTGATTAGTAATTCTTTGTCTAATAGAAAAAAATCAAAGAAAGAATAATTATTTTAAATTTTCGCTTTATATATATATACACGATACATTTTTTACTATATTATAATTTTTTTATAAATTTATTATCAGTTATTGAATAAAAAAGATTAACGCATTACCAAATTTTAAATTGGAAAAAAACATCTTATTTTTTTTTTTTAAATACATATATATGTAAATAGTAATTTGTAGATTTCATTATAAATTTTACGTACCGTATTATCAAAGAATGATAGTGATACAATCAATGATCATAGAATTTTTTTATTTTTAAAATATACTTTTACCTCCGGCATATCAGAATGTTTAACAAGCTTTCAAGTAAACGGTATAATTAGAACTGTAAATCTAATAAAGTGTTAACTTTATTTTAATTCTTAATTGATTCAATATAAGTAACCGAGAATTGAATGTCTAACCCGTTTTTATGTTCATCATGAAGTTAACCAATTGTACATTAATTTTATTCACGCTCATCTTGGTTTTGAGGCAAAAGTAAATCTCATTAAATTTATTTGACAGCATCCCTATAAAAAAAATTCTGGAAAAACTCCAATAAATGATCATTTTTTTAATTTAGAAACTCAGACACGTGATCATTTTTCTGAAAAATTTTTATAAGGCTACTTCCGTAGAAATTGCATTTCTTCGCGTCTGAATAGAATAGAATAGAATGTGAAATAGAAATGTGCGCAAAATTTTCATAATGTGGGTCAAAGTACTTATTTTTCTAGGAGGAATTGTGATATCAAAGAATATATTTACGCCAGAAATCGCTAATTTTTAAATTTGGAATGGACGTGTTTTGTATAGTTTTTTACTTAAAATTTTTTAACAATTATTTAATGAAAAAAAAAATAATAATAACATTATCGATAATATAGTCTTGGCATTAATTTAGACATCAAGAATAACTATTCTTCGACATTAAATCTAACTGGTGCTGTTGATTCAATTGAAGATATCATATCGGCTGATTGGAAAAATCAAGCCAATTAATATTTAAGCTCATTGATGGGTTCATTATATAACTGATGGGTTACTTATTGTCATTAGCATATAAAATTATGGGAGGCTTTTCTGATCAGCCGATATGTATTATATGGTAGTAGTTTTTAATGAAGGCGTTAATGAAGAATTTTTAAAGAATGCTTTAGGATGGGATTCATTAAAGAAATAATTAGATGTTTAGGGAGCTTTTTTCGGTACATTTCACCTCTCTACAGTGAATCCCATGGGCTGAAGATTAAAGTTCGTTGTAGTGTGAGAGAATATAGATAAAATTTTCGCTATATCAAAATTTATGATGATAATTAAGGAACTTTCATACATTTTCCTTTATTTTTATTGAGTGCAACAAATTGGTATGGCAAAAACTTGACATTCTTCTTCATGACCATAAAAGTCAAACTTACTGAAATATGAAGTTTTAACATCATAGAATTTCTCGCTCATGTGATAAAAATTTATTAATGATCTTGTGCAACCCTTCAAAAATTCGTATGAACTGTATTATTCTTTATATTTGTAAATAAGAGAAATTAATTATCGGTATAAAAAATAGCCTATCTCTAATATAATTGTCTGAATTGTCTGGATCAGTCGGGTTGAATTATTCTTTCAAAATGATTATGATTGTATAAAGTGATCAAAGAAAAAAGCTTTTATGCTATTATCATGATCCGCTCGATCATGAGTAATCACTACTTTATTTACTTGATTATGTGCTGTAAATATATCCTTTTGTTTCAAAATAAACAAAATAAAGAAAATATGTACAGTATATGTCGTACCTCAGGTGTCGATGTCGATTTACGTCAGGTGATGACTTGGCAAAGACGTATGTTATAAATGTGACGTTTGAGTTTTATTTATTGGGAAACATGGATATATTTCACGTAATATCACTCATTATTGATGTTTATAATGGATCAATTTTTACAAATGTAGGTGAAGAATTATTCACGCATATGAAGTAGTTAAATCTGACACAATCACCTTTCAAAATAATTCTGGAGCTTTACAAATTTATAATTTTTTTAATAATTCTAAAACTCGTGAACAACTTATTTCGATTTTTCATAGCTAAAATAATAATGATGTAAATGAACTTTAATATTTCATAAATAACTAGTACTCTTCCGATATATAATTGCTGTATAATCAAATAATCAAAATCCATCTTTTTCCAATGGATTGTTTTGGGAACATTAGCACAAGCGGTATCTAAAATAAAAAATTTTTAATATTATTAATTGTCTGTCAATTTAAATCATTGCATTAGGACCAATGTTTAAATTAATATCAGGTGTAATTTGATAAACATCAGGTGAATTATTTTCTAAAAATCCCTTCTTCCGGTGTTAAAAATAATAATTAAACACGTTTTCTTCAAAATTTGAGCTATACAGTCTAAGTATAATAAATACTATGCAAAATACAAATATTTCGGTCAATAGAAAATTACACCAGCAAAGTGAGTAAAAGAATATATATTAATCTTATCGTACACCCCTTTACATCAATAGACTTGATCAAGTTACACCAGTCACTGATCAATAAGTAGTTTAGAAACGCGCGTAGCAAGTTTTGTTGATTGTTTCTTTTTTCTTTGTAGAAACACGCAGGCCGCAGGCCCAAGGTAAAATAGGATTTTTTAGGGTAGTTTTTTAATTAAGAAATGTTTCTAAAACATTTCTTCGCTTTTTGTAGAAACGCCGTTAGTCTTAGACATGAGGAAGATAATAAGAGTAATAAAGGATTAAGAAACGTGCTTTGTTTAAAAAAAAGTTAAAAAGCACCCGCAAGAAAAAAATCAAAAATTTTTTAACGAAATGTTTCTGCATTTTCTTTTTTTAGGCAGTTCTTCAGTCTCCCTGGACGCGACATTTTTGTAAGTTTGCCATTTTTTTTTTCTTTATTTGTTTTTATTTTAACGAACGGTTTCTAATTGTTCGTTTTCTTACTTTATTTTTAGGCGACTTTGTTCTTCAGGTACATATTTAGACGCATGGGATGAGACTCTGGGCGCGTGGAATTTATAAAAAAAAATCTCTTCGAATGTTCATAAAAGCCTTTTATCCCATTTAACAAACTAAATTTGTAATGGAAGGGAAGTAAGTTTTATTTTTTCCAGTGGGAATCGTAAGTTCATTTTTAATTTATTTCTTTTGAGAAATTCAGTATGGAGTTTTCTCTGAATATTTCTTTGACGGAACGTATATTAACAGTTAACGTTTCGTTTTTTATCTTTTTAGTCCGGAGTGTAACGAAGGACTATTATTTTAGATGCAGCTTATTCTTTAGGTCTGGACGCGTGAGATTTTCTCGACGAAAAATCATGCAATTTTTTTTGAACATATTTCCTTTAACGAAACGTCTTACAACGTTTCGACTTTCTTTTTTTATAGGCGACCGGACCTTGGACGTGTGGGTTCCGTTTCCTAGTTTTACTTCAATTCTGTTTCGTGACTATTCAGATTAACTCATATTCTGATTACGCTTCAATAATTTATTAAATGTATACTAGACTTTCAGCAATATCATCCTATGCACCACCGCTAGTTGCGACTCCCTTCGGCCGATATTTGGCAACATGAAAACCCTGGATAGCTGCATTGATGGCATTCTCTAGATCCTAATAAAGTTATGTGTAACCTTTTAAAAATTCGGTATACATAGTAAGGATGAAGTGTATTATTCTTGGAATTATACAAAAACTAAAAACAGAGTTTATTATTTGCATAATGTATACATCATGTATTATGTATACTATTAGTGTTGTGCTTCAGGTGTCGATTTGTGTCAGGTGATGACTGACGTGACGCGCGTCAACAACACTTTTTTTATTACTTTTTATTTTATAAGTAAATTTGTATAACTTTACTTAAAAATCTCGTAATATACTAGGTATTGGCCATACACGCAGCGACGCAGCGTGACAAACGGACATTGCATTTTGAGTGTACTTGAAAGTCCTTCACTACGCTTCGGACAATAAATAATTTGAATGAAGTGTTTTCAATCTGACATTTTAGGATTACATATTCTTTTATGTGATAATAAAATTTATTCAATTATACCAATTATACCTTAATTTGTGACAAGTGATCAATTTACATCTGACGCACGTCAGTTTATTCTGATTCAAATCGACATTCAATCTTTTAAAAATTAACAATCATAATGAAAAACGCAGAATCTCCAGTTGAAGTTGTTTGTATATAGTATGTATGTACCTTTCAGCATTTGTCAATTTTAATGTAAACTTTAAAAAATATCCTAAATTGGTATTTGCAGCTTTATTGAACGGTTACATGGATATCACATGAAAATTACCCGACTCTACTGACACCCGACTCCATTTCAACAACAATTTGGTGTTCCTTATAAGGATCGGCCCTTATGGTCGATTAAGAGATATTATTGGCAGAATCGTATACATAACCTTGCCTTGCATGGTGATGATATGCTGAATTCAAATTGCAATGAGACAGTAATTTGTAGTATAGGTCAATCACTATCAGCGATCTGCAACTAAAACTAAAATAAAACATCGTTCAGCGGGTCTATATATATCAATACTTCTATTTTAAAGCGTGCTCGTCAAGAAGGATTAATGGATTATGTTTGAATTTTTTTTCAAATAAATAATATATGAATTTAGTTTTAAATATTCTATTTACATAATATTGCAAAAAATAAATTTAATAAATATAAAACGAAGCATGTTCTACTTCAACCAAAATTAAAAACAGATGATCTTCCATGAAAAGTTCCGTGATTAGATAAATCAAAGAAATTTGTTCTACTGCTCGTTCCATTAAGCGTTAGAGTTTAAGTATAATCACAATAACAATATCTGATATCACATGAATTTGTTCATCAAATACAGATCATCATACGTTTTCGGTCAATTCTATAAAAATCGGGAATAACTTGGAATATTGATTAACCGAATAATTAATCAGGTATAAAAAAATATATAAATAAAGCAATGTTTTACTTTTATTGATTCGATCCAATATATCAAAATATTAATATCGTTAAACATCAAAATGATTAATAAAAATCTTATTTTTTTATTACCGATACTCGTTCTATTATTAAACCAAGTCCACGTTAATGCTGTAGATTATGTTCCTAGAAATATTGATATAGAGCATTTGTCTAAAAATATTTTGGTCGGTTCTTATATTGGAGGAAGAAGTCATCTTAAACCAATGTTGGATGTCGCTACTATATTAATTGAAAGAGGACACAACGTAAGGGTTTTTTTATTCTACGTGATACTGGTCTGATCGTCGGTCTAAGTTCCTAATTGCTCCTATTTATAGGTAACATTATTAACATCAGGAAAATATGAACCGTCATCAGAATACCCAGGTCTAAAACAAATCACATTAGGACCTATAGTGACTTTCAAAAATAATAAACGTATGAATATTCATAAAGACATTGATTATAGAGGACTGTTACAACTTATGGAATTAACTACGGCTGTCTACAAAATAAATTATGAAAAATTTAAGCATGCTGCTAAAGAAAATAATATTGATTTGTTCATTTGTGACGCTCTGGCAAACGAACCTTGCATAGATGTTGCTAATAATCTAAATAAACCTGTTGTTGGTTTTACTACATATATGCAGAGTAATTATAAATAATCATATTTCTCTTTTTTATTATAGCAAAACTCAACGTAACCATTTTTTTTCTTTTGTTTAGTAATGGATCCTAAACCATATAAATCCGATCCGTTGATGGGCTGTAATATCTCATTAGAAAATGAATCGCTTTTTGAGAGGTTTAGGTGTACTTTAATACAACCTTTACAAATAGCTTATGTTTTTGGGCCTTTTGCGCGTCGATTAAGTGACATAAGAGACCAAATGAATATAAAATCAGTATCAGGAAAAGAGCCAAAGGTTTCCTTAGCTTTGATTGATACTTTCTTCGGTTTTGAGGTAATTTACATTCTAATAAAAAATTATAATTAGTTTAACAAACTAGACAAAAATAATGATCTTTTTTTTATCTTAAAGTTACCACAATCTTCAGCACCAAATGTTCAGGTAATTAATGATCCGTACGTTAAATCCGTTCGATGGATAATGATCCACTAAAATCCGAGGATATTCAAGGACTTATCCTTCGGATTATTAAACTGACGGATACTTCCACGACGGATGATGGACGGATTGTATATGAAGTTTAGCAAAAATTATAAAAAATTATAAAAGATTAATTTTCTTCATTCTTCAAATTAATAGGAAATTGGACCAGTATTATCAGAAGGATATCCCCCACTTACACCTGAACTCTCGGATTTTATAAATGGACACAAACGAGTTTTATACGTAGCTTTTGGTACACGTTTCTACACAACTATTGAGAATAACAACAAAATTTTACAATCATTTGTTGAAGCAATTAACAATAAAATAATTGATGGTGTGGTTTGGGCACTAGTTGAGACATCAAAAGATAATTTCAGTCCAACATTAGGCTTAACTGATGGTACACAAGTTCAAACTTTACCAATTTTAAATAATGAACATCCACATATTCATATTACAAAGTTTGCACCGCAATTCGCTGTACTTAATCACACCAATACGAAATTATTTTTTAGCCATGGAGGCGCAGGAAGTACTCATGAATCTCTTTATACTGGTACTCCTATGTTAGTGTTACCTTTTGGTGGTGATCAGATGGGCAATGCTCAAAAATTAAAAAAATCAGCGGGTATAGCATTATTATTAAATAAACATGCATTGGATGTCAATGATATTTTGAGTAAGATAGATTTCTTATTAAATGATGAGCATATAAAGAAAAATTCAAAGAGAATGAAATATCTAGCCAGAATTAATAGTAATAGAAAATATAAAGCAGCCGATTTAATTGAATATATGTTATATAGTAGTGGCTTAGATGAATATTTAGATGATGACTTTTTAAAAGAATGGATTCCTGCTGAGTCTAGAATGGGATTTATTAAAGCAAATAATCTTGACGTTTATGGAGTTTTATTAATTATTATTTTTACACTTATTGGAATTGCATTCAAATTGATTAAATATATTACAAATTCTTCGTCCGATGGAAAAAAATCAAAGCAAGAATAGATATTTAAAGTTTCGCTTTAAATATAAAAATATACACACGATACATTTTTTTCTAGAATATATTATTTTTAAATTTATTATTGAATAAAAAAGTTTAAACTTATTATTACCAAATTTTAAATTGGAATGGTTGCTGGACTGGACGACACCTCCCAAACCAATCGTACTTTTATAAGTCGAATTATTTGTTTTTAGCTTAGTGTTTAACATAGGAGTTTTGATTTAGTTTAGGTGTTCAAGGATATGTACTAATTTGTTTTTTGTAAGGTTAACGGTTAACGGTAGAAAAATTGGTAGGATATTTACTGGACAAGTGTAGCCAAGTGCAAATTTTTGTCTGGTTATATAACACATCTTCTATGATAATGTTTATTTAGTGCATAGATTTAGATAGATTCTGTTAGGTCTAATTTTTTTTTCAATTGTTTGACAGGTCATTTTAGTAGTTTTTTTTTGTTTGACGGGGATTTCAAGTGTGTTTATTATTTCAATTTTGTGCACGCCTGGGTATATATATTTGTGTGCTTTTCGTATTTAGATAGATTGATTTGTTATAGGGCACCGTAACTTTTAAGTTGGTGCCTCTAGGTATTTCTTAAAATTTCAAATTGGAATAAACATTAATTTTTTTTTAAATATATATAAAATATATATATAAATAGTAATTTATAATTTTATTATAAATTTAGCATTATCAAAGAATGATAGTGAAACAATCAAATACTTAAGGATTATAAATTTTTTTAAAGCATGCTTTACAGAAGCTTCAAGATCGTAGCGATGGCTTAATGCGCAGCAACTGCGTTATAAATACATAGTGACCACTAAACATGGGTATCGAAACCGAAACCTCCCGAAACTCTTTAGGTTTCGATATATACGAAACATAGTTTCGGAAATGCATTTATTTTTCCGAATCCCGAATCCCGATTCCGAAACTTATATACCGAAATATATCAAAAATTATTTTATTGTTTTATAAGTTTATTATATTAATTTCATTACATTATTATCAAGTATCAATTATATTAATCAAAATACAAATTAACTAATTATTAACAAAATTTTGAACTAATGAATCTGGATCAAAATCTTCTTCCTTATCCAATTCTTGAATAAACTTATTAAGCTCATCATCAATTTCCAATTGTTTATTCATCGCTAGTTTATTTCCAAACATTAATTCCAAATCAAGTACTTTTGAAATCTCTAATTCTTGAAGCGGAATTTGTTCATCATCATCATCAGATGAACGTGCCATGATCATTTCTTCCATTTGCTTCTCATCATATTCTTCAATTTCATATTCTTCAATATGACGACGAGCATTGTTTAAAGTGGCACAAATTTCATCAGTTGTTCGATCTTTACCATAATTAGTTAATTCAGATTTACTATTGGTAATGTAATACGAGTGGATTTTTGACATAGCCTCTAAATTTTCTACTGATAATCGTGTCCTCCTTTTTCCAGTCATCCATCCACAAATTGACCAAACTCGCTCACAGTTAGCTGCATGAGGAGCAATAGAAAATAATTTTTTTGCAAGTAATTGTATATAAGGGGGGGTAGGTTTACACATTCTTCACCAACTAAGAGGGGTGTTTGTTTGAGAATCATATGGTAATTTGTATGGGTTCGCTTGGAGATGAAATTCACCAATTTGTGACAAAAGCGTTTCTGCAGATTGTTTTTTGGAATGTTTATATTCTCTAAGGTGAGCAGCGATATCAGGAATTTTTAACATTTGTTGCCAAATGTGTGCAGCTGCACTTTGAATTCTTCGATAATGTACATCCTTTACGCCAATACCTATTAATTTTTTAAAAAAATTTGTATTATATATTATATCAGATAAATTTAAAATTTTATATGTCAATTGTCAAGTTTCACACCTTTATATCCAGGATGAATATAATATGCTAAAAGGTATTCATCAAAGTCATATAATATAAAGCGTTCGTTAAAAATCTTTATTGCATGTTTACGAAAAATCATGTGATCATCTTCAGGTATTTTATTAATTGATTGACCAAGATATGCCAAGGAGAAATAACAATCAGCCAGTGTTGCTTTATTACTTTCAAGAGTAAGAATAGCTTCCTTAATAGGTTTCATAATATTGGCCAAATCAGAAACATCATTAAAAAATCCTCTTTTTCGATTAATAATTGTTTTAACAGCTTCACTTGTAATAACGTTAGGATTTTCATTAATAACTTCTTTAAGACAAATTTCTAATCGAGAAATTGATTCTAACATTTCATAAACTGTTGTCTATCGTGTATCCAAGTAAGTTTTTAATCCTCCACCTCCTATTTTTTTTTCTAAGATTTTTAAATTTAGTAATTCTTTGGGTCTATGAGATTTTTTAAAATAGGTAACAATTACTGTACACCATTGAATTATTCGTTTTGCAAATTCATGTTTTATTAAATCTTTCGTGATTAAGTTTAATGCATGGGCTATACATCGGACATTAATAATGTGTGGGAATTTTTCAGATATTAAATTTCGTGCAGAATGTACATTTGATCCAGCATCTGTAACAATACCAGCGAATTTCTGAACACCAATATCATTAAGAACTAATTGTATTTGTTGTACAAGAAATTCAGCTGTATGACTTTCGCCAGAAAAATCTCCAATCTTCCAAAGAAGATCTCTCCCATTACTAAGATGAATGACGAAATTCCAAAGGGATTTGCCTGATGGACTCGTCCATCCATCTAAAGCTTATTATAAAGAATATAACAAAGTTTTATTAATACAAACTTTAATTAAAAATATATTTACAATAAATAATTTACCTAATGTTAAATTATCTTCAGCATCAAGTAACTTATAACATTTTACACTAACTCGCAAAATTTCCTGTGTTAATAAAGTATCAACAATTGTTTTCCGATCTGGTGGAATATAATTTGGCCGTAGTTGCTTGAGCA